TTTTGATAAATCTCTCAACATCCTGATACACCGCGTCTCGATTTCAGATCCCGATACATCGCGTAAAGTGATGTATCCGACAGATACGTCGCGTAAAGTAAGAATTTTTGTAATTTTTTTAAATGATAAGAAATTTTAGAAAATATAGTAAAATAATAAGTTTTGTATTTAGCTAATTTTTCGAAAGATTATTTGCCCCACATCAAAAATCAATTGCGTGTCAAACCATAGGATGTTATCCAAGCTAATACATCCAAACCCTAGTAAACTTTTTGCATAATAGCCAAAAACTCAATAGTTAAGTGGACCCAAAAATTTGCCTACAAAGTCAAGAGATAAAAGAATATATATATAGATAGGTCCACTAAAGTTTTAGCATTATTATTATTAATCACGTAAGTTGCCTTTGCACGTATCTTATCTCATTATGAAAGTGATGCATTTGGACCATAATTTACACTTAAAAAAGAAAGAGAATTCTAGCAATATGTCCATTGAAAAATCATAATTAGTTCATTATTAATCTCTGAGTTTCTAATTCTAATTAGGTTTGTTATTTAGGATCCAACTACAATTTTATTATTTGTTATTCTTGTATGAACTTACTTACGTAGGTTGCTGTCAGCCAAACGTATAACTAGCATGTTCATAATATATGATTAGTGATGATTTATATAACATATTTAAGATCGAGACATACTTTTTCTCTATTGTGTTTTCATTAATTATTTATTATTTTCATAAACTTTGTATCAAATCAAATTACGTTACCTTAATTAAAACATGGAAGTTAAAAAAGGAAAAAGAATAGTGAAAAGACCCATGTTGACAAAAACTAGTGATAGAAATTCCAAAAGACAATATAAAAAGGAAGAAAAGAAAGATGAAAAGAGGTACGAGGTGAAAGTGAAAAGAAAGAAAGAAAAATTAAAGAAGAAAAAAATAAAATTAAAGTTCTTGTGTTCATTATGGCCATCTAAAATGAAAAATGTTATGCTTTTATGTTACATAAATAAATAAAATTAGTTGTTAAATCATCCTTTCAATCAAAATCCTTTTTTATTTTTATTTGGAAATAGTAATTAACAAACTAATAGTATAAAAGTAAATTATGAAAAAGTTGTTCAATTAAAAATAATTGTGATGTTGATGTTGAATTTAATTAATTAAGAGATGGAACACTTGTTATCACAAAACTTTGAGTTAATTAAAGGATGGAACACTTGGCATCCAAATTTATCAGGGATGTAAAGCGGGTATTATATAGTATCAAACATCGGATGAGAAAAAATAATTCATACCATCATTCATTTTGAAGATTAAAGATATTAAAATCTAAAATTTATGGATTCAATATTTAGGTTTTAAACATTGAACCAACTGTACTTTTAAATGATGGATTCAAATCTATTTTCTCTGTCCCTAATTACTTGTCCACTTTTGAATTGACACACCTATTAAGAAAACAATGATTGACATAGTGAGTTTACCATTTACCCCCATTAATTATGAAGTGGATGAATTAAAAATTAAAGATTTTCAAGAAGTTCTACTTTTTCAAAATTAATTAATTGAGGATATAATAGGTAAAAAAAATAAAATCCTTTCTTGATTTATCAAAATGAACAAACAAAAAAGGAAAATTGGATAGGTAATTAGGGACACAAGGAGTATTACATATTACAATTTTAATAAATTTTCACATACACAAATTTATTCATGTTAAAATTGTTTGAGATGTTCATCTTTGTTTTATGTTATAAAATAATAATACATATCTATCCTTTCTTTGGAAAGTCTACTTGTCATAAAACCTATAAGGAATTAGCAATAATACATACAAACATACACACATATGACATATATATGCAGCATCAACCCTTTTCCTTTCAATTGAGTTGATGCCTCTTTAATTTGACTCTTGATTTTTGTTGGCCAAGAAGTTGCAATACCTTCTAGTGACTCCCTACCCACCCACATTCTATGAAGGGGATGCCCAAAATTATTATTTTTTGAATATAGTAATGTTAGTATTAATTTGCTACCTTATATCAATATGAATATCAGATAATTATGTTCATTAAAAGTTGTTGAATAGATAATAAAGTAAATAAAAATGTGTTTTCTGATTCTCTCAAACAAATAACAATCCATGTATGCATGTTGATCATGAGATCGTTCACACACTTCGATATAATAATAGAAAAAATAAATATCTTAGGTTCAAATCTCATTATCACCCAACAAAATATACCTAGTGTGTATCAAAAGATTTTTCACATATATACTTGGATCATAAAAAAGAATTAGGTTCGTAATAAGTAAAAGCGTGTTAAAGAGATAATAAAGTAAATAAGGTATGTTAGCTCACTCTTTACAAACTAAAACTTTTAGACGAGAGATAATTAATATATATAATTCAGCAAAAGTTTACATAAATAAGAAGAAATCTCATGGGGAATTCTTTTTGTCTATGTTGAGAATTAATCCCTAATCTCTAATAGATTTTCACCAATTTAGTTGATTGTTAGGCACATGATCCTTAATAGCAAAATGGAGATTAAATTACTCTTAAAAGAATAAATGCATGTTTAATAAATACACTATTTGTATAAATAATTATTTATACTATCAAATTATTATTATAAAAAAGGTTTAGGATTTTGGGTACAATATTTGAAACAATTAAAAGTATGATGATAATCAAGGTTTTTTTTGGTTTCTCACTTGATATTCGGATTCTACATTAGAGTCCTGACTAAATTCATATTGCACACTATATAACCCATTCAGAGGTGATGCTCTCAACAAAATTTTCTCCATATTCAAAATTCAAACACGAAACATCTGATTAAAAGTGAAACAGTTCCACCACAGCACCACATCTCTATAAAAAAAAAAAAAGAAGCTGACACATACTTACAAAAAACTGTTCATGATAAAAAGCAAAAAAAAAAGAGAGAGAGAACTAATAATTCAAATTATTCTTCTCAATAAAATAATCAATTCTATGAAAGATGATTCTTGGATCTCAGAAAAGGAGTAACTAACTAACTAACTGTCCCTTTAATTTTATAGAGTAATTTCCCTATCAAGCACATGAGTTATGAAGTATATTTTTGGTCCTTGATTTTATATGTACTTCAAGAATGTCACTTATTATATACTATTCATAGAGTATATAATAAATCCAATAATTTAACTTTCTTGGAGTTGGAGGATAGGGATGGAGGGACACTTTTTTTTCATGTTGAACTTGTCATATGGTCCATGACCTAGGTACTTATCGGGAGAAAGGGTTTTCATTCAAATTTTTTTTAATCGAAAAAGCATATTGTATATGATTTTTTTTATGTATATATACATTTGATGAAGATAATGTTCTCTTAAGTGAAAATCTTGCTTTTATCATTAGTTAGTACTTACAATTCTTTCTGTCTTATTTTATATGATATTTTTTTAAATTTAGTTTACCCCGAAAATAAATGATATGTTTTTATATATTTAACTAATTCAATTTAACTAATTCAATTTTAAACTTCTTTGAATCTCAATCGAATTGCCTCATTTTTGAGAAGGAGTTCGATTTCAAACCCAGATTCGATCCACTCCAAGAAAAAGAGAAAAGAAAAACAAATCAACTACGAACCCCCACCCCACCCCACCCCACCCCCCACCATCGGAAAAAGGGTCATAAGTAGAAATAAAGAAAAATTGAGGGACTTCTAGCAACTAATGTAATCAATTATGTATTATATATGGACCCAACAAATTGGTGGAAAAAGACGTTTCCTCATTTTTCATATATCTATGGCCTACTTCCTTTAAGTTAATGTTTTTTTTCTTCATCTAATTTTAAGTCGAGTATTTATTTTGAGACTCGGATTAATTTAAATTGATGTTTTCAGGAAAATTTATCAAAAGTGAAAATCTAACTTATTGAGAATTTTCTTATTTGTATGATTTAAATTTGTAACCTCTAAATAAAGATGAAAAATCTTAATCATTTCATCATTACTCGTAATTATTTTCTTCTTGTTAGTGTTCACTATACTCTCTCTTTCTCTCTAAAGATATTTTTGAAAAAAAATATCTAAATTATGCCAGCATCAAATCATTTTATAATAGTGAAATTAAGATTGGGTCTATTTATTTTTTCCATCACACGTATGTAGAACCCCCCACCCCCACCCTCGCCGCCACCCCACCCCCTTACTATCGAGTTTAACTAATATTTATTAGTATAAAAATTATATTTATCTGTTATAACAAGTAAAATGTCTTATTTTTAAAAGGATAAAGGTATGAGAAATATCCCAACTTTGATCGGATTTACTGTTGCGATACTAAACTTTCATGAGGATCTATTACCTCCTTCGACTATTTAATACCGTATTTTTATCCCCCTGAACTATTTAATATTGTATTTTAAAGGTATATATGATTATATGTGCCAACGTGGACACATTACTATTTATAATTTTGCATTATTTTTTATGTCCACGTGGACAAATATATATGTTTAAAATACGGTATTAAATAGTCTAGGGAGCTAATAGGTCCTCATGAAAGTTTAGTATCGCAACAACAAATTCGATCAAAGTTGAGATATTTTTCAGGCCCTTATCCCTATTTTTAAAATTGAAAGTTTACATTTTTATGAAGGGTTAAAACATGTAACATCATTTAGGTAACTTGATATAGTATAAAAAATTATTTACATTATATATAAATTAAATTCATGATTACTAAAAGAATTCAATCATCAGGTCATCTTTATCTATGAAATGTTTTATTTGTAAAATTACAAACCTCACATTTAAAAAAGTTTATCTATAAATATATTTTTAAATAACCTTCCTGATAATGTAAAAATATTTATACTGACGATTCTTACTGATTTTTTTTTTACTGTGTTTTTGAGGGGTGGGGTGGGGGTGAGGGTAAGGGGGATATGTTGGGAGACTTACACTAAATAAACATGTCTTCTTTATTCATATTCCCCTTTATGTGTTGTGGAGTTTTAAGAAAATCTCTCACTTTCTCTTTCTCCCAATTATAATAAGAAAACTTTCTTTCTTCCTTGTTTTTATTTTTAAAAAAATATTTCAGTTTAGTACATGGTTGAAGATATTTGATATAGCCTTCATATATGTCACTCATGTGAGTACAACTTTTCTCCATATATATCAAAATCAAGATTTTCATAGTTGAGTGATTAATTAATTGTATATAACTCATCATATATTATTTGAATTTTCTTTGTTAAAAATGTTTTCTATCTTTAGGGTATTGCATGGATTTATTATAATTTTTTTCTATCTTACTTTCTAATTTCAGGTTCCATCATCAGCCAAGTGTTAGAAGTCACTTTCTTTAACAAGATTTTCTTAAAAAATATTTAAAAACTTGAACTCCAAAAAAAAGAAGAAAAGGAGTGTAATTTTCTTGATTGGTTGTGAAATTTATGGCTATGTACTATCAAGGAGGCTCAGAAATCCAAGCTGATGGTCTGCAGACACTTTATTTGATGAACCCTAATTATATAGGCTATACTGACACACATCATCATCATCAACAACACCAACAACAATCAGCCAACATGTTTTTCTTGAATTCTGTGGCGGCGGGGAATTTTCCCCACGTGTCCCTCCCTTTGCAAGCACATGCGCAGGGGCACTTGGTTGGAGTGCCCCTGCCAGCTGGTTTTCAAGATCCTAACCGCCCTTCCATTCCGGAAATTCCGACCTCTCATCATGGCCTTTTATCACGTTTGTGGACTTCTGGTGACCAAAATACCCCTAGAGGTGGTGGAGGAGGAGGAGAAGGAAATGGAAGTCAATCACATATACCGTCTTCCACGGTGGTTTCTCCCAACTCAGGTAGTGGGGGAGGCACCACCACGGACTTTGCTTCCCAATTAGGGTTCCAAAGACCGGGGTTGGTGTCACCAACACAGGCGCACCATCAAGGTCTTTCTCTAAGCCTTTCTCCACAACAACAAATGAATTTCAGGTCTAGTCTTCCACTAGACCACCGCGATATTTCAACAACAAATCATCAAGTTGGAATACTATCACCATCACCATTACCATCACCAGGAACAAATACCAATCATACTCGAGGATTAGGGGCATCATCGTCTTTTTCGATTTCTAATGGGATGATAATGGGTTCTAAGTACCTAAAAGTTGCACAAGATCTTCTTGATGAAGTTGTTAATGTTGGAAAAAACATCAAATTATCAGAGGGTGGTGCAAAGGAGAAACACAAATTGGACAATGAATTAATCTCTTTGGCTAGTGATGATGTTGAAAGTAGCAGCCAAAAAAATATTGTTGTTGAACTTACTACAGCTCAAAGACAAGAACTTCAAATGAAGAAAGCCAAGCTTGTTAGCATGCTTGATGAGGTATATATACTTCTAATTATTCATATATTAATTAATTAATCATATATATATATTAATCAAATTATTCATATATTAATTAATTAATCAATACCAAGTTTCTTGATTTGGAGTTTGATCATTTAGGCAAATTTCACTACTATATATAAAACACAAATTCTAACGGATGTTTGGTCAGTAAGAAATTCTCAATTTTCAATCAAACATCTATTAGAATTTCACGTTTTTTAGTAGTGAAATTAATTAAATAATCTAAAAATTGTTCAATCGAATTTACAACAAAACATCCATTGAAATTTTACTTTCTTTTCAATAGCGAAACCAATTAAATAGGATTGACTACCCAATTAATAGTTATTATCTTATCTTCTTCTTGATTTCAATCTTTTTTCAATAAAAAGAGTAATTTTAATTATGAGATAATAAACTACTGATTAGTTATGACAATCTGAAAAATCAACTCCTATTAAATGATCCAAAAAGTGTACAAATTTGTATATCTTAATGTTAATTTCATTGTTTTATTTATTTATTTAGTTGCTTTTTTTTCCTTCTTGGGAAGGGGGAGGGGTCAAGTTGCTATTGATTCATATACTAGCAATAATTATTGATTTATTTCAAAGGTACAATTTTGTTCATCATGAAACTATAAGCTAGACAATATATGTGGTTCTAAGCTTTTTTCTATTGGGGGTCCAACTAAAGTTAAAGATAATACACCTAATATGTCTTGTTGAGTTGACAAAAAATCAAAGGCACGTGGTCTTATTCAATCACTTTATTAGAACCTTTCAAATTTGGAAATATTCTTACCTTTCTTTTGAGATAATCACATAAAAATAAACCTTTGGAATAATTTATATTTTTGGTATTCCTATTGATATTTGATATCTGTTTTGAAGCTTAACTAATATAAATATGCGTCGAAAAGTTATCTCACTTTAGGAGATTAAAATGCTTCTTAGTAAAAGTGACTTCATATTCAGGACTCGAATAATATTACTTGATGATCATTTGGACACAATTGATCAATTGGGAAATAATGAAATATTATTTTGCAAATCAAGTTTTATTTTATAATTTCATTAGTTATTTCGACTTGAACTTGAAATAAAGAATCTGAAGTTTGAAAAATTGATTTAAAGAGTATTTTTTTCCACTCTAAGAACTTCAAACAATTTCAACTTCAACTTCATATAATCATATTTTTTTTCAACTTCAATCAGATATCGTCGTGATATGATCAATATCAATCTACTTATTTTTATTTTATTGTTTGTATTTTTTTTTGAATTTTTTATAGGTGGATCAAAGGTATAGACAATACCATCACCAAATGCAAATGATTGCAACATCATTTGAGCAAACAACAGGAATTGGATCATCAAAATCATACACACAACTTGCTTTGCACACAATTTCAAAGCAATTTAGATGTTTAAAAGATGCAATTTTTGGGCAAATAAAGGACACAAGTAAAACTTTAGGGGAAGAAGAGAACATTGGAGGCAAAATTGAAGGATCAAAGTTGAAATTTGTGGATCATCATTTACGCCAACAACGTGCACTACAACAATTAGGGATGATGCAAACCAATGCATGGAGGCCACAAAGAGGTTTGCCCGAAAGAGCGGTTTCGGTTCTCCGCGCTTGGCTTTTCGAGCATTTTCTTCATCCGTAAGTATTTGTTGAAGACATAATTAAGTAAATTAATATGCATGTCTTTTAATAGTTTAAGATTTTAAACAAAGCAATCACAACATCCTACATGTTTCACCGCTTGTTCTCCTTATTAGGAAAAATAACCAATTGTTCTAGAGTATATGAGAAAGAATCAGACTCGCAATCTAGCATTTGAAGTGGCAAATACAAGACTAATTAAGTAAATACAATTTTTTTTTTTAAAATAACAGTTTAAACTTTTGAATGAGATAGATTTAATTAACACCTTATATTACCTATAAGAAATGAACTTCAATCTCTATTTTTTTTTTAAAAACAATTTTATACACCATGTAGAAACCTTTATAAAGAAATTAAATTAAATCACTCATACCATTTCTTTTAAATTTCAATAAATAAATTATATATTTCTTGTCTTGCAGGTATCCCAAAGATTCAGATAAAATCATGCTTGCTAAGCAAACAGGGCTAACAAGGAGCCAGGTTCTTGAAAAATTCATCATCTCAATTTATATGACGCATTTTTTAACATATCTAAAAAAGACGTTTTATTTCTAATTTAGAAACAATAAAATTTTAAAATTCTCAACAATCATAGTACCTCTCTATATAACTGTAACAACATCTTATTATAACAACCAATTTTTTGAATATGCCGTAAAAAAGACATTATATTTTCAATTTAGGAACAATATAACTTTAAAATTCTCAACAATCATAGTACCTCTCTATATAACTGTAACAACATCTTATTATAACAACCAATTTTTTGAATATGCCGTAAAAAAGACATTATATTTTCAATTTAGGAACAATATAACTTTAAAATTCTCAACAATCATAGTACCTCTCTATATAACAGTAACAACATCTTGTTATAACAAACTAAGTTCTTTTTTAAACCAACTTTCACTACAACAAAGATAACTTTTAGCGGCAATATACATATTAATAAAGAATACTAAAGCTTTTACCGGCATTAGTTAATTTCATTGGATCCATTATCGCTATAGACTGTAGATACATTTACAAAAAGTATTAATTACCACTAAAAACACATATGTAGTGGCAATTTTGCTATTGCTATTAATTAATTAATGTTATAAATATAATTTTTAATGTAGTGTTTCATGTTATGTTAAAGTCATGTAGTATATGTTCTCTACGAATAATATTTCACTATATCAGACAAAAAATATCTAGAATAAACAATGATGTTATAGAAAGATTTGACAGCAAGTCACACAAATATGTACTTAAGAGTACTTATTTTAGACTACAAGTTTTAAAAGTCGATCGTCTGTTCTTTCTTAAAATACTTTTGAAAATGCAGGTATCAAATTGGTTTATAAATGCTAGAGTTAGACTATGGAAGCCAATGGTAGAAGAAATGTACATGGAAGAAGTGAAGAAAAACAATCAAGAACAAAATATTGAGCCTAATAACAATGAAATTGTTGGTTCAAAATCAAGTGTTCCACAAGAGAAATTACCAATTAGTAGCAATATTATTCATAATGCTTCTCCAAATGATATTTCTACTTCCACCATTTCAACATCTCCGACGGGTGGCGGCGGTTCGATTCCGGCTCAGACGGTTGCAGGTTAGTTGGAATATAAAGAAAGTCATTTTAAAAGTTGTCGTTGTTTGACCTATAATAGGTTTTGAGTCGTGGAAGGCATCACTAATTTGCATAAAGGTAGGTTGTCCCCTTGGGGTATGGTCTTTTCATGGAGTAACGGTAGAGTTGTTTCCACTGACCTATATAAGTTACAGGTTCGAGTTGTGGAATTGGTTGCGTTGTTGATGCTCATGTCGGGGTAGACTGTCTACAACACACACCTTGAGATACAACCTTTTATTGTACCCTACATGAATGTGAAATACTTCACGCACCAAACTGCCTAATAACTCTTAGAAAAGAACACACTTGACTCACACATCTATATATCTACGTAGTACCTCAATTGATAAATAATCTAGGATGATTAGATGGTTACACATATCAAACATATAATAGGTTCAAGTCGTAGAAGGCGTCACTAATTTGCATCAAGGTAGGTTGTCCCCTTGGGGTATGATCCTTTCATGGACCATGTAGACACTCTTGAAGTTGAGTCTTGAAGTAACAGTAAAGTCATCTCCACGTGACCTATATATATAAGTCACAACTTCGAGTTGTGGAGTTGGCTAGGCTCTCATCAGGATAGACTGTCGACATCACACTTCTTGAAATGCAACCTTTTTTCGAACCTTATGTGAATGTGAGACTACACTCTTGACTAACATCTATATAACTACTATACCTCAATTAATAAACAATCTAGGATAATTAGATGGTCTCACACTCTAAACACCTAGGTTAGATCAAAAGACAATAAAACTAGCTAGAGTACATTTTTATTTATTGTAACAAGTGTTACTTATCAAAGTGTGACTCTATATTGTTTAACTAATTAACATGTTTAATTTGTCTAAACAGGTTTCTCCTTCATTAGGTCATTAAACATGGAGAACATTGATGATCAAAGGAACAACAAAAAGGCAAGAAATGAGATGCAAAATTGTTCAACTAGTACTATTCTCTCAATGGAAAGAGAAATCATGAATAAAGTTGTCCAAGATGAGACAATCAAAAGTGAAAAGTTCAACAACACACAAACAAGAGAATGCTATTCTCTAATGACTCCAAATTACACAATGGATGATCAATTTGGAACAAGGTTCAACAATCAAAATCATGAACAATTGGCAACAACTTTTCATCAAGGAAATGGTCATGTTTCTCTTACTCTAGGGCTTCCACCAAATTCTGAAAACCAACACAATTACATTGGATTGGAAAATCATTACAATCAACCTACACATCATCCAAATATTAGCTATGAAAACATTGATTTTCAGAGTGGAAAGCGATACGCCACTCAACTATTACAAGATTTTGTTTCTTGATGATATATATAATTTCCAGGTAAATCAACTTGAAATTACATCATGAAAGGCCTTGAATAAAAGAAGGGGAGTTGAGATCTAGTGATCATATATATATGTATAGGTAGAAAGTTTAGTTAGTATATATAGGTTATACTTCTAGTTTCTTAAATGGAGATACAATTTTTGTTGTTGTTTTTGTATTGAGATAACTAGCTAGCTTGGGTTATTTAAAGTTGTTGCATGCAACCAAAGAAGAAGAAAAAATAATCTATATATGCAAACTATAGTATGTTGTAAATTTTGTGCTTCTTTTAATTAGTTTCAATTTGCATATATGTAAACCAGGTGATTGCATATATCTTCTCTGATTATCTCCCAACAAGTTCGAAAGAATTGTCCCAAAAATTGCATATACACTATCCTCTACAGACTCGACTTGTGTGATTACAGTAGTTATGTTGTTGTTGGGGTTGCTTTATTTTTTAGTCATGTAAAATGGGGTTTGATGAAGTTGTTATTTTACATTTCTCTTGTTTGATTTTTTTTTTTTTAAGCTATGGAATTACACCTACTTACCCATTTTACTTGAGTTTATATTTGATCACAATGGTCTTGTTGAGTTTAGCATTTTTTTTTAGCGGATGCAAAAATATTACTCCGTAGATGATTAATTTTTTCCATCAGTCCAAGCCTTACTAGACAGAGTTACGTGATGCGTATAACGGATGCAAAATATGTGCAGAAATGACAATTAGTCGAGATGTGTACAAGCTGCCTCGGATGCAACTGTTATTAGTTGTAAGAACAATAAATAAGGGTTGTTTTGTTATGAAGGGAACATCTTCCTTCTTGTTCAGTAACAAAAAAATTGAGACAAATTATCGCTAAATATGTGTCGGATTCTTTAAAAATAATGCATTTTTTCAGGATTCATGAACATGGGTGCAGTGACATTTTCTAGGAGTCTGAACAACATAACTTATCATCATCCCTGTTGGACTGGGATGAATATATGTTATGTCAAATTTGGATTAATTTGTTTCTGGCTTCCATATGCTCATATTCAAAGCTTAATAATCATGATTAAGTGTTAAAATAGATGTGCAAACACATGTTAATTAATGCATATTGGAAAAATTATATAATTAGACATACTTCACTATCATATATATTGTTATTACCTGTACTTTTAAAATATTATGTATCTTACCACGGATTAAGAGTTTTCTATCATATATTAAAGAAAATACACTTAGATACATGTGATTCGCATGTATCTGAGATACCAGATACATGGGAGAATGGCGAGCGAGATGGGAGAGATGTGAGGGCGGCGAGCGAGATTTGTTATGTATTTCAGATATATGGAATCTGATTGTACAATGTATTCAGAACAAATTACACCTAATTTTGACTCCATGTTGTTGAGATGCATGTATCTGAACGTATCTGGAGGCACCAAAATCTAGTAAGATGCATAATATTGTGAACTAAAGAATATCTAAGTAATTGACTCCTGAACTAATGAGATTTATGTAAGTTTTCCTATACTTATTTAGTGCAAAATTTGAGTGTGAATAAATTTTTACTAACTAGTCTTAATTACGACCCTTAATAATCATCGAGCTTGGCTTAAACCATGTCAATTATTAGCTTAATTTTATACAAATATATCAAAGTTGCTTATAAATTATTTTAATCAACTTATATGCTTAGTCAAATCATGGCAAATAATGATAGTTTAAACTATTTAGATCAACTTTAAAATCCTTCTAGATAGTTTCTATACACTATTTTTCAAGTGATTGGGACTATACTCCATCAACCATATATTATATACCAACATGTCGTAGTTTAGTCTCCAAGTATTAAATTGATCTAACCTAAAAAAAAAAAAAAAACCTAAACTATAGTCCAATTTTTTTTTTAAAGAAAAGTTGGTTTATCTTATTTTATTATTTTAAAAAAAGGTATGTTAACGGTCATGATTGGTGCTAGAAGTCTTATTTGGACGGTGAAGACTGGAATTTAAAATGAAAGAATAGATGTTTATCGTTCGAGCAATTTTTTCCTGTTCTTCTGGATTATATTCAAATATTATATGCAAAATTTTAATCCGTTTGGTGTTAATATCCTAAATGTTTGTGTGTCTGAGAGTGTATTTTACTTTATAACAACGACAATAAATTTAGCATAGTATTATATGGAGAGTCTAGAAAAAGTAGAATATATATATATAAAAAAAAATAAATTATCTCTTATCTTTATGAGTATTTTACTCTCTTTGAATTAATTTTTATTGTGGAAAAATGTATCCTCAATAATTATAATTAGACATACCGAAGTATTTAAGAGTGTGGCTTGATGGGTAATAGCAACTTATTTTAACGATTGCTACCTATTGTATTGTGTCATTTCTTTAAATTATTTTGACTGTTAGTTAATTTTGTAATATCGTATTTGTTCAAATAGTTGTTATGTAATTTTATGTAAGGATTAATTTGATGTGATTATGTCATTTTTGTTTTAAATCATTTATATCCTACTTTTTTCCCCTTATAATTAATAACTCTGCCGGCTGCCCTACTGTGTTAAGTTCGAACAATCTATTGCAAGGATTAAAAAATTATACTAAACAAACACCTTTATGTTTAATCCAAATAATATATTACGATAATTATAAATTCAGGATTTTAAATTTATACGTTCTAGATTTAATTAGGACATAAAAGTGGATTTTTTTTTCCAAACATGTGTTCTTTGCTTTGATGCATGACAGATAGTTGGAATTTGTACTTTCAAAATTCACTGTTGAAAAATCATACTGATTGAAATATTTTCCACAATTCAAACACCAAAAGTATAAATATTGGGACAAAAAAAAAAGGTGCACTATACAAATCTACCATGATTAACAAATCTTTTATTTCACATATGGACAATCATACTTTTTAATTTTGAAAATTTAAAATATTCTTTGTAGGGACATTTTGCCAATATTAATTATTTTAAAAATAACCAGTTTACATGTTTGTTTTTAGATAAATATTATTAAGCTAAATTATTTTATATCCATAAATCTGTTCAATTCCCCACGTTTGTGTCATACAAAAATAATTTTAAGATGATCTCACTTTGTAATTAAAAATTATAAAAACTGAGTTTATAATATTATGAATTTCTTATTGTGAATCTGAAATAATTAGATGTCAAAGTAAGTACTTTTAAAAATGGATCGAAGTTAACTTTCTTAGAGAGTGTTTTATCCTTTAAATTAAATCTTTTTAGCGAGATTGGAGATTAGTTGGTTCCTAAAGTAAATTCCTGAATGGCTGAAAATAGATTTGTGTTTGATATATAGCGCTTTGCCCTCCAAACGAATTTTTTTTATACGATTTCAGATTAATCGATGAACCCTACATTAAAGCAGTCGAACGGGTACCCTACAAATAGCGTTGTACATAGTAGATAGTATTTTACTTTCACGTAAGACTTTTTAGTACAAATTTAAATTAATTGGATCTCAAACCAAGTATCAAATGATTTTTTTTAAAATTTTATGTTATATATAATATATAAGTATAACAATTTTTGATTGGTTCATTTTTTCAACAATTATAATTTATAGGTATGTTTTAAGTTGATTTTCAATAAATGCTAGTTGTAATATATGATGGAATGCACCAAACAGAATATATGATCTGTTTTTCATCTTGACTAGTTCATATAAAAAAATAAAAATAATAAAAGATCAATAAATAGGACATTGAAAATCAAACATTTTAAGTAAAAAATGGAAGCTTGATTTGTTTGACTGAAATTGTCTAGATAACTTAAAAGACTAAATTTATATTTGATTTGCAGATAAGATAAGTACTTCAAACACCTTTTATTAAAAAATTATATTATTTATATAAAGGTTAAATATATAGAAGTCAAAAATTATTTTCATACATATATATTAAATCTTAAACACCCTTAATGAAATTTTTGATATCGTCACGATAAATAAGGATATATAAAAGGAAAGAAGAAATAATGGAGGTGAGTGATTAAGCGTTTTAACAAAACTCATTTATATTAATTAGTGATAGGTCAACTAAATTTTCAAATTTTTTTAACAAAACGTCACTTAATCAGATATTATATTTTAAAACTGAATTGTAATTAAATTTTTTTTTTCCAAATTTTATTTCTATTTTGTAAAGATAAGAGATAATTTTCAATGTCGTTTATTTTATATTTACAAAATAGACTAGTAACGTCACAAAATGGTGAAAAACATGTTCCATCTTTAATGAAGAAAAAAATAAACAAGTAGAAAAACATATATTCGAATAAAAACAAAGTAACGGTGGGTCAAGCCGAAATTAATTACTTTTTGATTTTCATTCATATATACCAAACTTCTAATTTAAATTTATATTATTCACATGATGAAACGATTTATACATGTAAAGCAAA